AGCTAATGGGTCTAAATTCAGAGGATGCGTTTTCAGTAAGGGCTTCTCTTAAGACTAGAATCTACTAAGTAGTCTCCTCATAAATATTACCAGTGATTGTTCACACTGTATTTCCAAAATTACAGTATAATAATTACATTTTGGACACTTGGAATAATATCATACTTTTACCTATTAATTGCTGTGATTATTCTGTTAAATTTGAATGGTCTTGGTGTGCACTCAACTTGTGTATGCTGTTGACCTCCTGTGGTTTTGTTGTTTTGAGCTGTTTCCAAGACATGTTGATGTGTTACTCATATTGCTATGACTCATCCAAGTAGCACGAAAAACTCATAGCTGACATTAAACATGAAAAAAACCTTCACTGTAAGTTAGTTACTGTCTGGCCTAGCATAAGTATCATTTTGTCCTAATATTAAATCATCCACTCAAAGATTCTGTGCTATTCCCATTCATTTACCATTATATCAAAAATTTAGAATTTTAGAGTTGAATTATAGGCAGTTTTAACAGGCAAAGTATATTCTGTGTGTGTATATGTATAAAAAAATTAAAATTTATTGTGTATATATAAAAATATACACACTTTTTATAAAATATATATGTAAAATATGAAGTCTATTTGCATAATTACAGGCATTTACATGATATGATAATCAATTGCCATTTTAGTAAAATATAGCAATGTGTAGCCAAAAGCAGATTTTAGTATTCTGGTATTGCTTGCCTTCAAACTTATACTACAATGATATGAATATTAATTGTTAAATGTTACAGTCAAAAACATGACAGTTATACTTGGCTTTGTCAGGAATTCAGACGTCTACAAACATCACTGCATTTGGGCTGGAATCATTGACCTGCTTAATGTTGTTTGAAGTTGAAATGAGAAGAAAGTGGCAAAGTTTTCCCTTAAATATATTTTTTAAGACCAGACATTTATAACTGAGCAAATACCCAAAGCATTGAGACCAGCTGAACAGTATCTTCTTTATAGCAGCTTCCATGACTTTTTTTTTCCTGTTTTAAACATATATCAATCCAACCTTACTTTTGCCAATTTTTTCCCCTAGACTAAATAAACCCAGTGTTTCAGCCTTCATGGGTGTATTTTCTAGCTGCCTTGTACATTTTTCTGCTACACTTTTTCCAGTTTGTCTGCTTTTAAAATGTGGTGCCCAAAATTTTGTTCTTTATGCAGTTTTGAGAGCAACCTGTGAAGTGGAAAAAACTTCTTCAAGGCTAGAGCCGTTAGTTTTCCACAGTTCGTTACTTATACAAACACTTTCATATCTCTTAGCTCCCTCCCAAATTCCTTTCCCAAGGCACAAGTGGTTAGTAGTTTTGCTAATTAGAAAATTACTGTTTCTGCAGGACATCAAAAGGTCTCTTAATCTCAAACATAATGCAGTCCTATTAGTATTTCCAAAAGTAAAATTTCCTTTTTTGGAAACGACATCACATTAACTCAGTTTATATATTGCTGTAACTTATAGATCTTGCTTTACTTCTGAAATTTGTTTTTGTATTTGACATTCTGAATGTTTTCTGGACATCTTGTATTTCTCTGCTGGGATCCTTTCAGCTTTTCTGTCTCTCTTAATGTGTGGTACCCTGAATTATATGATATGCTGTTCCCTTTATTTAATTGAATTTTCTTATCCAGTTTGGGTGCTCCTTTCAAATCACTGAAACATTTTGAATTCTGATCTTGCTGTCCATCTTTTAAATTCTTTTCTAGCTGGAAATCCTGTAAGCACACTACTGTGTGTAAATTGTAAAGAAAGCCAATACATAAGTAATGGTGGCCTGTTGGAATGAGAGTAAACTAATAGCTGAAGTAGCTAATCTTGTACTTACTTTTTTTCAGCTAATTTTATCTGTTCATTTTCTGTGAGAAATGTTTCACATGTATGCACAGACACAATCACACACTTTGATAATAATTATCATCACATTCAGAAATTTGTATCCACACAGCGGTTAAACTTTCCTCAAGTTATAACTGTTGTCAGGTTACATGACTATGAGTTTCAAGATAAGGTCAAGTTTCTTTTTACATCAGTGAGGGTGTGTGCAATGGGAGTACATATATAGAGCAAAACAGTTGGTACTGAGGAGCTAATATCCACACTGTATGTGTTTGGTAAGGAGTGGTTACTGAAGACTAGACTAGACTAGAGTCCTGAATGCCCTTTAGCAATTGCAGCAGGTTAGGTGTGGGTTCCTGGAACTTGTCATCTGCTTTAGTTTCATCTCAGGACTGCTCAAGATGCAAACCAAAGCATGGTGAATGTGATGACAGGAGACTCGCTTCAAAAATGCACTCGTGTTCCACACAATAGCAGCTTTCTCAGAACTGTTTTTTTTTCCCCTACATCAGAATTATAATTTTTTTTTTTTAGTAGGAAAAAAGAGTGTTGAAGATAATCTGGTATGTTAAATTAGGATTTGTCATTTGTGTCTGGGGTGGAATGAATGGGAAAGGGTTAGATGTATAAATGATGAGCCTAAACAAATATTGATGTACTAGTCTGAAAAACGAACTGGTTTTACTTACTGTCTTATCACACTGTTTTGCTTATACTGCCAGCCAATTTTTAGAGTTCATAACTTGTCAACAGAAATGCTAAAGCAGCAGCGGTGGCCTTAGGCAGTCCAAGAACATGGCATAAAAATAGATTGATGCTAAGAAGTAACATACTGTCATAACCAGTTAATGCACGCAATTGCCTAGTTTTATTATCACTTAAATTTGAAAGGTGGGGGAAAATAGGATGTATAATAACTTTCCTTATGTTTTATAATCATCTCTGATTATAGCCACTGTTAAAAATGCAAAATCCCAAATATTTCAACTAACTTAGATTATTTGAGCCCAAATATGGAGCTGATCTGGGTCAATTTAATAATCTCTCTTATTAACAACTTTGGATTTCACCATTACCACTCTGCATTTTTCTCACAATATGAAAAATAATTGTGGTAAAAAAAGACGTAATGTGGTCCTTGGAAGAATTTGTACTCTGAGCATAAACTTAAGTGTTTGAATTTAAACCTTCATGCTAATAAAATGGATTTACTTAAAAGCAGAGTTTCTGTGCAGTATGCTGATTTTTCAGGTGGAGGTGAACAGTAGAACAGGAGCATGGAACATGTTAAATATTTCAACTTACAGTAGTCTTAATTTAACTGGTTATTTAGTTTATTATAAATTTCTTATTGTTAGTAGTAAATACATATAACAAATCATAGAATCATAGAATGCTTTGGGTTGGAAGGGACCTTTAAAGGTCATCTAGTCCATCCCCCCTGCAATTGGCAGGGACATCTACACATCTACCAGGTTGCTCAGAGCCCCAT